GGGGAAGAGGGAGGGGCAGATTCTCAGGCTGATGCCACTCCCCTCCTCTTATTTTATATATAAGTCGCCAAATTGCTTGGGCTCCAGTAATTTTTTCCCTGGAACAGAAATACAGTAAAATTGTGGCAAAGTTCACTTTACAGGATATGGCTGGAGTATTTAAGCAACAACCAATGATAACTTTGACAAAAGGATTCAATATATGGCTTCAACAGCTTCTTCCTGGTGGTAGCACACACTGTGTATGGTTATTTTTATGACTGCATTGGTATGCTTTTTCTTTTCTTTTTTTAAATTTTATTTTAATCATTGTTCAAGTACAGTTTTCTGTCCTTTACTCCCATCCCAGCCCACCTACCCACCCCTCCCCACCTCCCCCCCATTTCCACCCGCCCCAGTTTTTGTCCATGTGTCCTTTGTATTTGTTCCTGTAAACCTTTCCCAGTTTTCTTAAATGGTATGCTTTTTCTCAAAGAGGTAAGTCCAAGGTTCTTTCTTTAAAAGATATTCTGCACAATGTTTTCCATCATGAAGAAGTATAATTACATGTGCATGTATTTGCATTCTCATTTTCCTCAAGACCTATTATTATAATATGTATAATATTATAGTATTATAATATGTATAATAATAGGTCTTGATGTATGTATATGTTTGATTCTGGTGTTTATTTTTATTTTTTATTATATGTCTTCTTAAAAGCTACCTCAAACTTTGGTGGAACATAAGAGATTGTACAAATACATAAATTGTTGAGAACTATAGATATGAACATGGGAAAATGGCACACCAATAAAAGAGGGGGGAAAGGAACACTGAGACAACATTCCCTCTTCACCCCCTCTTAGAGAATATGCATGAAAACACAAAAATGCAAGTTTATAAAACAATGCAAGGCTAAGGAAAAGACTAACCCAAAACAAAAAATGACACTCTCTCTTCTTCATAAAAGACAAAAAGATGTGCACGTATGTTTTTAGAGAGTACGTATGCAATGCTGATGAGCTACACAATGCAGACTAATGAAGAGAGAAGGCTACAGGAAGGCAAGGTAACAACAGAGAATAAATGGGTCAAAACAACTAACTATTACTTCTAGGGAAGCTTCTCCTTAAGTCTCCTTCCCGGTTAGCCTAGGATAATAAAATGTTTGTAAAACGAACAGTTTTCCCCCACAATTTGGGAAGTTCTCTCTTTGAGCATCCAAACTTAAAAAGCTTTGGCTATTTTACTTTCAAACACCTTCCTATTCCTAATACAGGTTAAAAACCAACCAACCAGAAAAAAACAAGCAATCTGATTCTGTTGAACTGAGCCAGAAAGAAATGAAAATCTTTTCGGCTTAGGGCAGCCTGAGCCGAAAATGACTCTTGGAAAATGACTCTAAAGGAAGTTAGGTCTTTAAAAACAAAATTTAGCAGGTGGTTTCATTTTCTGTCACTTCAACGGAATGTAACATCCTGAAAACACCTGAGTAGGTAGGGCGCTCTCCCAGGTAGTGAGTGATTAAACCACTGCTCCATTAACAATTCACCTTACTGCAGACAAGCTTTAAAGCACTAAGCTTTTCAAGACAAAACTGTAATAAAAAAGACAGAAAAATTTACATGTAAATGTGCAAAATATTGAAGGAAAATAAGGAACAGTAACAGGCCTTCAATCGTAGGTCCTTTCATGCAATCTTTTCTTATTTAGGAAATCAAGAAAAGTGAATAATGATGTTTTTCTTGTCAAAACCCAGACAAAGACAAAGTAGACTGAAGACCTTTTAAGTATATATTTTTTTACATTTAAGTCACCCTGCTTCAGATTGCCAAATTCTAAAAAGGAGATGATTTTCATATTGTATTCAGTATCTCTGCATGCAAAGTGGTAATGAGAAGATAATAGTTAAACTTTACAATAAAAGTAGCAGCAAATAATTTTTTTTTACTTACAATCAAACTTCTAAAAAGTGCCTATTACTACTTAGATAAGGAGACATGAAACAAATTAGATTTTACTTTTATTCATACAATCAAATTTCAATTTTCTACCCTCATAATTATAGCTTATTGCCATGGCTGAAAAAGCAAGTCTAACAATAATGACAAGGAACAATTAATAGTCAAAATATTAGAAGGCAGAACAAATACCCAGTTGTGATTGTTGTGTTTGAAGGTTAATACACTTCCGCCAACCTCTCAAAAGAAGGAAAGCATAAGTAAATGTAATACCTGCCAGGTTTGAACAGGAGTTTGGGCAAGAGTATATTCCAACAAAAGGCATGAAGCACAGTTAATAGGTGTGAATTACAAATGTAGCTGTGGTGAGAACAGATGAATTACTGGAGCTGTATTTCCCTAATATTACAGTATTTCAGAAGCTGTTTATACACATACAGACACATGTAATATTACATTTATACATATAACATTTTATATATATATTTACTGCAATAGTAATTAGGGAAATGGTGGTCCAATGACGAGCTGAGTAAATGTAGAGGAGGGAACAGCAGACAGAAAGAATGCCAAGTACCCAGACATTTGATTGCCTATCATGTGTCTTCATACACTAAGATCATTCTCTCTGTATGTAAATCAACATAATTATGCACTGTGCCTCCCTGGCTTTTTCGGTAGTTAAAAATCTGTAACTGTCCATTCCAGCTCAGTTCAGCCAGGACAGACTGGTGTGGGTTAGGAGGAAGACTACACAGAAAAGCCAGGATGTTTCTGCAGCTCTACTCAGCACTTTGTGGTTCTAGCTGATCCTGGAACTGCCCCTGCCCCATCTCCAAAACTACCTAGCCTTTGGCCCCTGCAATCCTAGAAATGGTAGGAGCTTCCTGTTATGACCAATCTTCTGGGTGCTTCATCATGCTGTTTAATTTTCCCAAACCTTCCAACCCACACTCTTAACTATAACTTCCCCATATCGAATCCCTCATATTCAGCTACCTGGCATGGGCACAGTTTTCCTGACAGAGCCATAAATGATAGAACTATTACTCTTGGCCTACAAAGAACTCTCACCTATCAAACACTAACCCTCCAATAGAAGGGGACAACACAGAGGTATTTTAATATTTTGTAGATAGTTAGAAATATAAATGATGACACTAATGGGGGAATATGAGAAGATCAACCTCATATCCCTTAAGGGAAAGAGAATCAACACAATCTTTTCAGGAATGAAACTTGGTTACATACATTAAAAGCCTTGACAATGTTCCATATACATTACATAATTTTCTTCTTAAAAATCTAGCTTATGGTGCAGATACAATTTTACACATAGGGGAGTTTGTCGCAATGTTAAGAGAATGAAAAATGAGAAACAACCTGACAACTTGTACATACTTGTTTTCTTCAGAGCATCCCCACAGACCCCAAGTTTTAAGTGTGCACAGTTATATACTTTCACTAGACATGAAGCACCAAAGAGGGCAAGGATAATTGTTTTAATCATTGATGACTGAGCGCTAGACAACTATTAAAAGCTCTCAGGTAGTTCTGGAATAAGTTAATGATACAGTATTAAAATGAACTTAGAGAAGAATCTTATATTAAATGGTAAATTTTGGCACAGCCAAATAACAAATGCACTATGGTGTACTTAGCATTTTCCTTTAAACTAATTTTTCAAATCACTTTTTAATAGTTCATAGCTCTGCTATTTCTCCTGAGGAAAGTTTACATCAGATGACTTTTCACTCAAAGGAATTTCAGTGGCTCTCTAAAATCTGCAGGAGAGGAGTTCAAAGTCCCTGATATGTGCAGATATCTGTAATTTGGCCCGTTGTGGCTGTTCCTTTTACACACCTTGTCATCTCCCAAACCAGTTTTAAATTTTCCCATGTGACATTTCTGTTGTCTCTTCTGCCACCTAATGACAGCACCCTCTCCACCAGTCAAGCCCTAGGTTCCAGGCACATCTTCTCTCCAAAGCTACTTCAGAAGCAGGCTGTGCATTTATAAACACGTTTCCTCACATAACACTTATTTGTCAATTAACCACACATTACTAATTCATGGCATGCCCTGCATTAAACTGTTCTTTGTATGTCTCATTAAGTAGCTTTTCACATGTCTATACGTAATCAATGGCTTGAGTAAATACTACAGTTCTTGAGAATACCTTCTTTATAAACAGAAGAATGTCTTGTATGCGCTATAAGTAACACAAGACTCCTGGTATCAGGTTCAGGTAAACTCAGATATGAGGCATTTGGGGATCTGAGTTTTACTCAATTTAAGCCCTGTTTAACAATTGCCAAAGTATCTAGATATCAAAGCCTATTCTATCTAGCATTTATACATTGTTGGCAACATCCTTTACATTCTAAGCTCCACAGGAGGCGATGGGGCCATATGGGTGTTGAACCTATCACTGCCTGACAGGCAATGTATATAGTACTGGGTCTATGATGTGGCTGCTCAGCAAACACTGAATGAATAAAGACTAAGACATCAAATATTTGTGAAAGTGGCAAACACTCTCCTTAATTTGTCCTTTATATGAGATAAATTTAGGGAAAAAAGGAAAAATAGAAAGAAGCTTCCAGAGTATATTAGAAACTACCAGAAATGCTACATAAAGAAAATAAATTCAGGTAACTTCTGAGTATTAGCAACATTGAAAGAAAAGACCTTGACTTATATAAGTGATTAGCCAACTTTCCTAGGTTATACAATAACCTTTGTGGGGAAATCTCATGTGTTTCCTTATGATACAGAATTTTCTGATATTGGGTAGATATTAACAGTGTTGATGTCCAGTGCTTTATCTTTTTTTACTGTTGAAATATACAACTCTATTTAATTATTTTAAAATTAAGCATATTAAAAAGTACTACTTCAAAGCAAAATAGCTCAATATTGTCACCATTAAAGGCTTTGCTTGCTTAGATTAGTTTTACCGAGGTAGTAAATTAAAAAAGCAGTCTATAAAGCTACTTTGTGTGTATGTGTGTGTAAAACATAATAAAGATTTTTTTATGTGATAAAAACTCATACCTGTTGATCTCCAAGGAAATGACTTTTCAGTTGAGCTAGAGAAAAGAAGAAATAGCAACATTTACTTTCTTTGTCATAAAATTTAATTGTGGCCACATTTTGCATATAAACATTTAATTATCACATTTAATTACATTAAGTATACAAACCCCAGACAAAATTCAAAATTACTCTTCTCACTAAGTTAATTACTTAACCTTTCCCATTAATTTGAGACAAAATTGTATGTCTACTTGGAAATTAAGGCAAATTATAAAGTGACATAAGATTCTCCTTGAATGAGACGAATAAAATAGCACAACTATGTATGATAATCATGGTACTTATATGATGTACTATTGCTGCTTTCTGTGGTAAGATGCAAACTACATATAAATTAAAACATATACATTAAAAAGAACCAAGAAGTTTAAGAACTTCACTCACTTTACTTATTTTCCAAAGAAGCTCTAGATACAATAGACACAAAAGTTAATGGGATCAGTTCAAATTGAATGTTAACTTATAAAAGTTAAATCATAAAACTTTTATAAAAAATATAAGGCTTTCCAAGCCAGGAGAAATTTTTAGCTATACATTTTTCTTGGTTTATAGAGTACCAATTTCTGTGCCTCTCTGCCCTCCATCCCTTAATCAATACAAAAAAGCAAGGTGTGAAGGGGACAATGTGGTAGGAACATAGGAAAAAGAAGCTGGATTATTAAGTATTTACTAAATACTTTATTACAAGTGCCCCACATATATTATCTCCATTATATAATTCAAAAACAACCTTATGAGTAGGTACATTATCTTTATTTTATAGATAAAGTAACTGGCCAAAGATTTATTTATAACCTCAAGAGCTGGGATTCAAACCCAGGATCATTTGATTACAAAGTCAGGGCATCTCAGTACTGTGCTATATGGCAGAACAGCCTGTTACCCCATTTTTGCCGTAGTACGTACACATAAACAATATGTCTACAAAGAAGTCTAGAAAAATAAAAACCAAAGCAGTAAGCAGTTATCTTGGCACAATTCAAAAAATTGTTTCTTTATAAACATTTGTACTTTTTAAAAAATCAGAATAAAACACATATTAAAGTATTTGTGGACTGTTCATTAAATTTAAGGAAAAGATGTGTGACTTTAAGGAAACACTGTAAAATGAAGGACTTAGAACAGAAGAAGGGAACAATCCTTTTACTGCTATGGTTGTAAGATTTTAAGTTTTTTTAACCCCTTGATATCTCTCCAAGTCATTAAGCGGTGAATGAAACTCCCACTGGTTAAAAACTCTGGACGGCATAAGAACTCCCTGAGCTTTAATTTTGTGTGTGATTTGCCTTTTCTTCATCAGAGGCATAGCAGCTCACATTCCAGGACCTTGAAATCAGCTGCAAGTAGGGAGCATGCTCCCAAAGAATGGAGTCAATCAGTTAATGCTGATCTTCAGCATTTCAGTGATGTTCCTTTGTCTGTTGCAGGCCTGACTGACTTCAAAAGAGACTGATGAGATGAAAAAAGATGAAAATTTGGTTAAATACCAGTAAGGGCACATCTGTCTTGCTCCTGAAAGTGCTTTTTCACATTCGTATGACTCTAAAAGTGGCTCCCTAAACTCATTTCAACTTTTATTGAATCTATTTTTGTCATTTAGCTCTATTATCTAAATTAGTTTTCTAAGCACTGAGGTTGATATTATTTATTCAACTGTGTCCCTATCAAAATGCTCATATTTCTTGTCAATACTAAACCACATGATAAATCAAAATGCCATCCAGGAATGTTTAATACAGTTAAGTTTCTTGGGAATATCAAGAAAGTCTACTTATCTTCTGAGTTTGAAATTTACATAAACTTTAATAAAATACTTTTACAAGATTTTAATTCTTAAAATTATATATAATAGAATATAATTCATGTTAATTGCTCAAATTGGGCAAGGGCTATATCTGTTTTGCTCATCTCCTCTTATTAAGTACCTAACATATTGCCCGATACACAGCAGATGCTTTATACATATTGTTCTTGTAACACAAATTGTGAAAAAAGTAATACCGTATTCTTCATTGCTCTGAAAAAATCAGGCATATAAATGATTAGTTATTACTCTGTTCAAGCAAATCAACTTGTTCTCCTCTACCATAAGCAGAAAATTCCAGTAGCCTCATTGTGTAACAATCAGGCAAACAGCATTTTTCTGATGAAAAGACCTCTTTGGTCATCAATATAATAAGGCATTTCTAAGTGAAGGCAATGGAAAGCTTCAGTTCATATTCTTTTCCCCAACTCTACATTAGGTTAAGAGATATAAATCATTAGGAAAGTAAGCTAACATTACCATTAAAGATAAGCAAAAAGTTCCACAGTATATTTTGATGACTATACAGGGTGAGGCAAAAGCAGGTATACAGTTGTTTGCACGGAAAATAAAACAATTATTAATAAATAATACAAGACTAAACTCTTTTGTATAAACATACTTTTGCTAACCTCTGTATATTCAGCCCAATTATCTTGACACTAACCCTACAACTCTGTTATGACTGGCCACTGAATGTTATTCAGACAGTCTATTTCCTTTTGAATTACCACTCTGGAATTCAGGGATCAGACAATATATATGTGCAATTTTGAAACATTAAGTTGCTGAATGTAACCTGTTTTTTTTTAATTGAATTTATTGGGGTGACAATAGTTCACAAAACCATACAGGTGTCAAGTGTACAACTCAACAAAACACCATCTGCACACTGCATTGTGTGTCGTCCCAAGCAAAGTCTCCTTCCATCTCTACTTCCCCTCCTTTGCTCACCTCCACCTCCCCCTCAACCCCTATCCCTCTGGCTATCATCACACTGTTGTCCTGTGTCCATGTGTTTTATATATGTTTTGTTTTTGCTTAATCCCTTGAAATGTTAAGTCACTGGATATAACCTGCTTTAATTAGAAAAATTAAAGGCAGCTCCCTCATGAACTAAGTAAGGTAGGGGGAATGCTGGTGTGAGGGGGTGCAGGGTGGAGGGGAATAAAGGGGAGAAAAAAATGGGACATTTGTGATAGCATGATCAATAAAATATATTAAAAATAAAGGCAGCTCCCTATTATAAATATAAGCTCACTCCCTCCTTCTTCCCTCTCTCCCTCTAATCATCTATTCCTAGAAACACTTTGCCAACTTTTATTGAATGTCTACAATGTGACTATAGGCACAGTGCCCACAATGACTTCATCCCATTCCCTTCATTTCTCATCTGAAAATGCCAAGTAGCTTGTGTTCAGGAGCTTCCAGTGGAATGTGAAACACATTTTAATATACAAAACCTGAATCATACATATTAACTTAGTTTCAGTGGGAAGATGTATTCACATTTTTCAATAATTATTGACAACCTTCCAGAATGAAAGCCATTCATAAGTTTGGTATGAACAACAGTTAAAAGCAAATTCATTAGCAAATTAATAAATCAAGGCAATTTGTTTTAATGTGAATAATGTTAGTTTTAAGGAAGACACCAAGCCTTCATCACAACATTACATGAAAATATGTAGTAAAGTACTGTAAAATTGTACACACTTATGAAATTAAATATTTTTCCCATAAGTTGGAGGCAAATACATTTTTGTTGGATATTTATAGCTATGCAATGTCTTTGAAACCCTCCTTATTTTGGCATCTTTCCATGAGTCAGAAAATTAAGCTGTTCATACTCTTCTGCAGGCAGAGGACAGGCCAGCCTCAGAGGGTCTACAAGCAGCCACGTGAGGAGGTGACCATGGTATGGTGGGGAGCATCTGTGTTGGACCCAGCAGTCACAATGTTCATGGATACCCTGACTTAGAATCGGGCTCTCTGGCCTTCCTAGAGATTCCATAAGTTGACACCCAAAAGATTTTAATAAGTTTCTTGTCTGCTTACACAGGCCAGAGCAGATTCAATTCAACCAAAAGTCCTGATGAGTGTTACCATAAAACTAAGTATTATGACTAAAAACAAACATAAACAGGCCCTCTGAAGAAAGCCAAAACCTCACTCCTCAAATCTAGACAAATATTTCCAAACACATAGATATATTTCATACTCAACACATTCAAACTTTCTTCCCACACTAACTCCCATTTAATCATTACATTACTGCCTAGTCATTCAAATTGAAGAACATGAATCATTTTATTGTTCCTGACCTCCCCCAGCCCCAACTAGTGTGCAAACTCCACGAGGACAGTGAAGTCTGCCTTGTTCACAGATGTACCTCCAGAGCCTAAGACAGTATCTGGCACATGGCTGCCAATCAAAACATACATCTGATTTCATCTTTACCACCACAGACAAGTTCAGGCCTTCATCCTCTCATCACCTCTAGCTGGATCATTCTTTCAGTCTCTATCCTAACTTGTTTTCCTGCTTTAATTTCTCATCTTTTCAGGCTCTTTTCCATGCTGCTGCTCACAGTGATTTTTCATACACTACAATCCAACATTGTCCTCCTGATGCTAATGCACAACAGACCCACAGAGGATGACTTTCCAACATCCTAGTCTGGCACAGACTCAGACAGCTTAGTTTGGCACAGAAGGCCCTCCACAACCTGGTTCCTTCGGTTTGTCCTTTCCCACAGAAACCTACATTCTAGGCACTTTTAATTACTTGCAGTTCTCTCACATGCCATCCTGTTTCACACTTCCCATGCTATTTTGGGAATAGAACAGAAGTAGAGTCTGGAAACCCTTTCAAAATTATACAAATTCCATTCAGAATGGCATATGCAAGTACCATATAACAATATATATGTTAGATATGCATGAAACCGAACACTCTAATGATGTTTACCTTCACTATGTATCACTTAATAATGGGAATATTTTTGAAAAATGGTCTACTTAATTCTGTACCCAATTTTATCCTGATTCTAGTGTCTGATGTAAGCCAGCCTGCTTTAGCGGACACCAGTAGGTAAGCAGCAGGGGCGGGGGCAGTGGAAAATTTGATGGTGCCACACTGTAACTTTATTATGTCATTTCTCTTGTCTTCTCCCAGGTCTAGATGGGG